CTCTGTGAACCTTATTTCATAGAGGTTTTTTGTAAAATGGAGATAAAAGCTTTGCATATCTTCTAAGGTAGTTATGAAGACTGAGCTAATACAAGTGGAGTACTTGGCACAGTGCCTGGCAAATAGTAGTAAGTACTCAAGAAACACTAGCTATCATCACCATACTGATTTACTGCTTCGGTGTTTGGAAACCTATGAAAGAAAGGGTGGTTCTACACAAATTTCAAAAAGCATTTTTAAAGACAATAAACTAGAAAAAAAAGGCCCTTTTCAAAACCATGCTGCATTCCCAGAATTCCTATCTCTACCACTACAGGTTTAGCCATATTATCTTAGCATAGATTTTATACAAAGAAGTCAGACACATCTTGATGAATAATTATTCTGTAGTCAGTGCTTTCTTGCATTTTAGTCAATGTTTTAACACAGTATACATAAAAACTTGCTACTCTTCTTCTTTAAAAAGTTTTATTGTTGTAATCAAATAAATGCTAACTAAAACAAAGAGAAGTCTTTTTTTACCAAGCAAATAAGACTAAAAGGAAAAAAGATAATTCTAAATGTTGGTAAAGGTATAGTGAAAACTGATAGAAATGTGAAGTAATACAATCTCTTTGAAAGCAGTGTGCCAAAGTGCATACAAAACCTAAAAATATCTGAACCCTTTGACCTAATCTTTCACTTGTAGAAAGCTAGCTTAAGGAAATTATCGGGGGGAGGGGGGTGGGGGAGGAGGCATAGTCTTATATACAAAAGTGCTCACTACAGTATCATTTATTTCAGAGACTGAAAACAATCTAAATGCCTAAAAGCAAGGAAATATTCCTAAATAAATTATGAGGGGATACAACATACACTGTTAAATAAAACAAGCAAAATATGGAACTCTCAAAGGACTACATGTACTGACATATATTATATATAGGAAAAAAGAAACATGTTAATAGTGGTTTCCTTGGATAGTAGGGTTATGATTTTTTTTAATGTTTTTCTAAATTTTCTACAATGATCATGAGCCAAATTTTTAAAAATTCCTTTAAAAAACACTATTTTTTAAAAGAGTTTTATTCATCCCTTAAGATAATTTATGAAGTGGAAATGTTTTAAAGAACTAAGCTTATATTTAGCCTTTTTTCTCTTAAAGTCTCATTTTCAAGCAATTTCAATAGTATTCCTCTTATTTCCCTGAAATACAATAAGCTCAAGTGACAAATTTAGTGGGGTTTTTTNCCCTCCACAACTAAGACTGAAGGACAACAACTTGGCTGTTCCCCTTCCCCAATTCCCCAACACTGTTCCCCTTCCCCAATTCCCCAATAAAATCTTTATTAAGGAAAGAAAAGAAAGAGGCTGGAGACCAGTAGTCTACCAGAAGTTACTGAAGCTTAGAAATAGGTAACAAAAGTAGCTGTGTCTACAGAGTACAATAGAACCAACAGGAGACAATTTTTTGTGGCTGTTCAAAGATGTGAAATTATAATTGTTTTTTAATTGTCTTCTGATTGTTTGGCTTAACCTTCTGGGTTTAGGAGATCACTTTTTACACATATCAGATCAATTATTTGCTTAATAATTCCTGATTTGGCTGAATATAAATGAGTAAATGGGTTGGAGAGAAATTAATCGATTTCATGCCATACAATTATCCTGTTTCCCAATGAGACAGGTGAAGGCCACAGGGCTCTAGAGCATGAAGTACTTTAGCTGCCATCTCGTCCACATATAGCAAACTCAGCTGCCTTCACAGACCAGGTAGGTTAGCAGCAAACTATACTGTACAACCTCCTAATGACATTCAAATCCAAGTTTTACTACAACAGTATGCTGGTCTTCTCATCTTACAGCTGGGGAAACAAAGAGGCCCAACAACCTACTCAAAGTCATCTAGCTAGTGAATTAGTGCAGAATTCCTCTGAGAGAACGAAAGTATGAAGATATACAGTGTTAGCAGTAATTACAATAATAATAAGAGCTAATGTTGAGTTTTTACAATAGGACAGACACAATACTAGAAACTCCATCGGCATTATTTCACGTAAACCTCATAAAAGTACCTTGAGAGATTACTGAAGACATACCATAAGCAGGCTCTAAGCTTAGTGTTTTACAATCGTATCACCAGTCCTTACCAGAATCCTATAAGGATGGGGGCTGTGAGAATGACTTCCATTTTAATAATGAAGAAGCTGAGGATAAGAGAAGTTA